TAATACTTCCACGCAGATTGGTTGAGCCGAAACGCGAAGGAAGGGGACCTCCATGCTGTCCTTCTCTCCGTCTGCCGCGCCTTTTACGCCTCCGATGCCGCATACCGTTACCAGCACAGCCAGTTCGCCTATGCCCACCATATTCAGACTTGGAACTAACACTGGTGTTTGACAAGCCCCCAACCCGCCGGTCTTGTGGCATGGGAAGGACTGAGTAGAACTATAATTTTGTGCACATACATGCACACATTCCAACCACGACGGCAGGGGAGCTGGGACCGGTGGGAAAACGTCCAGCCGGGATCCCGATCTATCCCGTCCCAGGATCTAGCCACACGCTGCAGGTCCGTACGTAATAAACTCAGATGATGCTGGGCATGGTTTCTGGGGCCGTTGCCTATTGCGTCTGCCGAGCGAGATCTGATTACCCCCAAAATACTATTCCATTACCCCCGAAAAACTATTTTATTACCCCCGAAAAACCCCTAAATTACCCTCACAAAACCGCACCCCGGCTTGTCACCAGCGTTAATGGGCTCGGTAAGCCAGGACGGTCCCAGAGATGCGGAGCAGTGGCAGGCATCCGCAACGGCGTGGGCAGAAAGAATGGTCTCATTGTCTCCCCGCCCAGTCAATAATTTACGAGGGAGGGGCCCAGACCAGGAGCAAGAGCTAAGGTTTCCGTGCACAAGAAAAACCCGCGGATGGTGGTGTTGCTTTGCAACCGTATATGTGGCTTTCCACATTCGTCGGATGTATATCTCTGACCTCACATCGGTGGTAATCATGAAGCGGTTTGCTACTACATTTTTGTAACAGCAATCTGGTGCCAGAATCTCCGAATGCGGGATCAGGACCCACATGTGCTTCCAAGGATGCAGCCAGCCGTCATGGTTTGCCTCGGAAGGCTTGGAAGGGCAACGTCAAGGGTGCCGCATCTCACTAGGGGAGAAAACTCTCTTGCGCCAATCATGGCCTGGAATTTCAAAGCGTCTGACGCCGATGTCGCGCTGGTCCCAGAAGACACGGTCACTCTAAATTATTCAGACAAGGATGCTGCATGAGTGTCGTCACCGCGACGCGGGGGACGGGGCTGCTGCCAGCCATTCGAGCAGCAATATTTCCGCCTCGTTGCATCGTTGCAGTGGTTGGCCAAGGAGACAAGACGCTGCTTGTTGCCCTACTGGTCAGTCTCAACGTGGCTGCAGGTGTGTTTGTTCCGCGAGATCTCTGCTTCACAGGCAGACACATTGCATGGTCTAGCCCTCGGCGACCATGGAGGGCTGGCCGGTGCCACTGCGGACGTTTGTTATACATACGTACACGACATAACTTTTATTTTCTTTGTCCTTCATCATTGTGATGCGCGGTGTAAGGGCGGCTGACCATTTATTCCCGTTGGAGGATGCTCTGCTTCGAACACGTAGCGAATGGTGTTTTGTGGCATCAGCCGTCGGAGTTTCTGCGCACTTGGCGGCAAAAGGAATGAAATGGCCCAGCTTGCAACAAAGGAATGCGCAGCGGTCTTTCACCAACGATCGGAACCGGTTCGGATATACCAGTTATATTTCAGCCATGTTTCGTCGTTGTAACCCACATCCTCAGTCTAGCTGTTGTCAATGAATCGACAACAGAAAACGAGCAGGGTGAACCAATCATGGCGCTTCCGCCCTTATCTCGACGTGGAGCAGGCTGCCGGGCCGTCAACTCACATCGACTGATGGCGAGTGCCGCATTATCCTGCCTCTAGGAGTCCGTCAGAATCGGTGATCAGCCTGGCAGAGTTCAATGGCGTCCATCTAGATACAATACGGTATTGACATGCGATTCTGGTGGCAAATGGAAATGACCAATCTGACGTTGCTGTCACAGCCTTTCTGAAGCTTGTCGATCAACGGAGGGAACGCGCACATGCTGTGGTGCAACGGTAGCACAGGCCAGAACCAGAAAGACTGGCACAGGATGCCATGGTTTGACAAAATCCAGCCCCGTCCTTCAGGGTGTTTGTGTTCGCGGCAGGATGAAGCTCAAACTCAATTTGTCAATCAATGGTGGGATTTCGGAATGGACAGTGGCCATAACCTTTTTTTCCCATGGTTGGCGATTGGTATTCACAGCTAGGTATGCATACTTCAGGCGCTCTCTACTGATAATCAGCTTATCGACCTGAGTTTGGCGTACCTCGACAAGAAACGAGACAGGCTCCGAGAGAACGGCACACGCCCGCCCACATGCTATTTCCAGCCGGAATTCTGTCACATTGCACATTGGTGCCCACTACGTACTCCGTACCCCGTAATGTGGCTGTAAATGATTTCGGAGTTCAACCCCGAGCCCAATATTACGGAGTAGTTGCTGACCGCCAGCGCATGCTGAGGAACATGTGTTTCACGCGGTCCATAATTCCAGAACTGTCTGGTGCGAGGTTGTTAGGACCCTGGGGCCTGCTGCCTGTCAACCCCTGCGGTGAAGGTCCAGTTTGGTGTAGTTCGGGCACAACAGGGCATGGATGAAAGCTGAGGCGAAGGATCCCGGAAAATCCCGATCATCTCTTCGTCCCGACGTCGAGGGTGAGGCTGCGGCAAACCAGTAAAATATATCACGCAACGTGGAACATGTCAACATGCAAACGTCTGTTAATACGCAGAAGACACGCGACCAAGCACCGCCAATCGCTAACGTGGTCGGCTGCCCTCATGGTCATGCATACATACCTAGAGCATCATGTAATGGCCTTTAACAGCATAAACCCCATCACGGTCCTCTTCTATCCAGGATGACCGGGCTTGGAATACCGGCTCAGGACTGCAGGTTTTGTCAAGTTCCCATCTGCACAACTGTAGGGTAGCCTTTCCGGGAGGCATGACCTGCAACTTGCCTGGGACCTTGTCAATACAAATGTACATGCTTTCTGGGCGGTACGGGGGTGACGTTGCGTTGTCTGTGCCGGTCAAGAGTCAAAATGTCTAAATGATTGGCTACTCCACCTGTAACATATGTCCATCATGCAATGCATCTTGCTCTACCATATCGATACATACATACGCATACATACCTAGCATAGTACATTAGGAAGCTCGATCCTGGCGGCTGTTTAAGCGCGCTACGCGCGGCAACTGTGGGTCCTCTGGGTCAGGAACCATGTTGTTTACGACCACCTTCAACCTTCAATGTCCGCAAACATTCAAAGGACGATTAAGCTCAACCATACTACGGCGCGGTGTGCTTATCGGTGCTTGCCGTGAGAAATGCTGACGACTCTCCCCGACTTTACCCCGCGAGATGTAAGATTGGTGCCTGCATTATCAGATGTTATTTGACTTTACTGACAATCATCTCCCAGTCACATTCGCTGTGGTACACGTCGTCCAGAGGAGGGACCGCGCAACCGCAGGGACTGCACGATACGCACCATGGAGACTCACCAACCCATAACCATGGTTCTGGCCAATCAAGGTCAAGAGGTCACATTATAGAACGGACAGCACTCGCGCGTCTCGCCGCCGACGAGCAATTTATGAATCGACGCCGAATACAGGTACAAAACTTTGGAAGCGGTTGGCTACGGCCACCTGGTGTAGCCAAGACCCTACACCAGATGCGTGAGGAAAAGCGTGAACAAGAGGAGCACCAGGAAGCCATGCGTCGAGAACAGTTAGCTCAGGAACTTGCCGAAGCGGAAGGAGGCGGCATGCCGGACGAAGGCATGATGGATGATGTACAACTAGACGGCGCACATGATCTCGACGATGAGATTCCCGATGCCGATGACCACTTTGGCATGGGAGACAACGATGAAGACGATGACGGAGATGAAGAGGGACTCGAAGCAGAAGACCCAGAAGAACTAGACGATGAAGCTCTGCGCGAAGAACGCCAAAATGACCTAATGGCAGCACGTATGCGCATGACCGACGACGCATTTCGTGAAGCTCTTGTCCGCGGGGACCCCGACGGCGATGACATGTACGGCGGAGTAGAAGAGCTCGAGGAAGAGCACCAGGGTCACATGCTCGACGAAGATGACTTTGCGCATGATGGCATGGAGGCAAACCTGGACGATGATATCCCCGAAGCTGAGAGCGGTCTGTACGAACACACGGATTCCGAGGCTGAATTAAGCAGCAGCGACGACGAAGAGCGTGACGAAGAGCAAGAGGATCAGGATATTGGATTCGTGCCAAGAACGGCACAGATGGCACCGCCTCAGAGCCCGACATTACGGGGGAGAAGGGTCTCGGGGAGGGAGAGTTTGGACTTGAGCAATATCCTGAGTCAGGATGAGAGTAGTTTTATGGACAGTAGCCCTGTCCAGAGGAGACGACATGGATGAATACGCGAGTATGAATATGATACCCACGATAAAGAAGGTTAGTTGATGATTAATTGGTGGTCGATGATGAGCGGTCGATACCATGATGGTGGGTGGCGTGAGTGTACAACAGGATTACTTGGTATTTTCAAGTATAAACCCTTCAGTTTATGCTATACCGCGCTGGAAGTGCCCGGAGCGACTGAGTATGAAACCTTGAACTGTCTATCATTACTGGCCCATGCCCCACCGTGACTTGAATACCGTGATTGTGATTTAGTATACTGACATGATTGCGGCACCTACCCGAGTACATAGACGGGCCGGCCTTGTGCCGCAAACCACTTCCTTTCCCGTACCAAAGGCAACGCAACGTTCAACTCAAAGCCACGGCATGCCCAATTGATGAATCTCATTTCGTAGACCCAAATATAATCAAGGCCTAAACACGGTTGTCGCACGCACCAGCATCTCAAGTCCATGCGGCACCGCCAGACGAAATCCAAACCTCGTATTAAAAATTCAATCTCCCCCACCATGCAAGAGTAAGAAGAAGAAAAAATACCCCAAAAGAATAACGCCCGCCATATGCATTTTTCAAAGCTCAACCGAAAAAAACCACCCACCCACTTGGTTCACCTCTCCAAGATATTCCTTTCTCTTCCCCCCCCGGGTGCAGCCCAGCCCATCAGAACAACCACACGTAGAAGAAGAGCATGCCGACGGCCGCAAAGAACAGCAGCCACAGCCTCCACCCCACGCCCGTCCGCTCGGCCATAATCTTCATCCTATTCATGGTGCCCCTGACGCGCATCCTCGCGTCGTCAAAGGCGTCGTTCATTTTATCCGCCAGGGCGGAGGACTCGCGGATCTCGTCGCCGATGGCCACCGTCATCTGCGCACCGCCACCGTCAGCACACTGCGTATACTTGCGTTTCGTACCCGGGGAAAAAGAGCCACATACATGTTTGAGGGTGCGGACCTTGCCCAGTATCCCGGCGACCTGGTCCTCGTTCTGGCTCTCCAGCTCGTCGAGCACGGCATCGCTGTATTGGCCCTTCCTGTTTGGCGTGGCGGCCCTGTAGCCGAGGCCGTGCCGCTCGCCGTGGCCGCCGTTGGGGTAGGCCGCTGCGTACCCGGGGTTGTAGGGGTTGGGACTGTGCCCGCGCGGAGTGTGGTCGCCGCCCGTGTAGCCTTCGAAGAGGGCGGAGCGGGAGTCGCGCTGGTGGAGGGACGACGCGCCGAACCTGGGATGCCGGTTAGCTTGCTTGTCTGCTGTGGGGGAAGCTGGTTTGGGTTTCTTTTGTGTGGTTGAGGCGCTTTGGGGGAGGTTTGAAAATAGGAGGTTGACTGACCGCTGGGCCATGATGGCACGGGGGGGCTATTTTCCTGGTGTGCGGGAACGGACTGGGAGGAGGTAATATCAAAGGAAAATAGGGGGGAAAAGTGAAAAAGAGGAGAAACAATGGACGAAACGAAATTTAAAATGTCATCTTCCAGGGTCGAGTTATGGCTTAGGTGGTCTTGATGCAAGTTCGGAAGATGGACGCCACAAGTGTTGCATTTGGGACTGGGAATTGACTGCAAGTGAGCCGTGGCACGCGATTGGTAGGCTGGTTGGCGACGGGTGGTACGTACCGCGGCGGTGCCGACCTGCGTTGGGATGGCGAGTGCCAGCGTGTTAGCCTCGAAGTATCGCGTCTACTGTATTCTAAAAGGACCAAGGTACATGTGTTGACTCAACGTTTAATTGTTTTCTGCAAAAGTGATATAAATCAATGCATGGCTTTTGAACCGTTTCAAAATCTCTTTAAACTCTTTTGCAGGCTAGCTCGTTAGCTCCATCGTAGTGCAACAAGCTAAGTACCTATCACGAGAGGTGAAGCTTTAGGTAACCTCAACAGCGGCGATGAAGATACCCGTTCTAGGTTCCGATTGAAGAGCTCTCGAACTGAATTTTAGGCGTGCAGCGGGAAATATTTTTGTGCTTCACCCAGCTGACTGCCATCTACACTCCTGAGAGCACAAGCAGCCCAGTATACCACACCACACTAGAATTTGAACGGCAATGCTTTCATTTAACTGTGCTTCCCCCTTTCGAGCAAATATTGTTGCTCAAAATTGTACCCAGCAACCGGGAAAAAAATAACAGCTCACTATTGCCTCCCTTGCGTTTATATCCATCCACGGGAGAACCACACATGTAGATCCAAAGGCGACCCACCAGCAGGCAAGCGAATTCCCGCAGTCATACCACATCCGTTCTTGTTGTTCCAATTCACTTTTGATAGAAACCCATGCCCGTCAGGGCCCATGGGACCATGCTTTTGCTTTCGTAGCTCATACGCAAGTTCGCCCTACGCCCATTCATGGGGTTCATCTACCCCGACATCTCAGTGTCCTCAGTAGGAGGCTGGAAGTCATCGTCATCTTCGTCCTCATCCTCCTCCACGGGGTGCTGCTCAGCGGCTTTGGCAAAGTCGATGACGGTGCCGCGTGTGCGGCGGCCACCCTCAACAATGTTGTTCAGGTCAATCTCCTCCATGCCGTCTTCCTCGTCGCCTAGAAACAAATCATTAGCAAAGTTGCGCTGGTACCGTGTCAGAGCCGCCGGCTACTGCGCTTACCGCCCTCGCCGTTCTAGGTATCCGTGTTAGTTGGCTGAGCAGAATGGGAAAAGGTAGTTTGCAAAATTGGGTACATACCTCTTCCTCGTCGTCGTCATCATCATCATCATCCTCTTCGTCCTCTTCATCCATGGCAGCATCCTCAGTGTGAGGAACGCCCTCAGCGGCGGCCTTGCCCTTGCCCTTGCCCTGAGCAAAGCCGGTCTCCTCGGTGGAAGAGTTGGTGGGGAGAGTTGTGCCGTTCTCAGCCATGGTTGAAGTGATTGAAGTTGACACGATGCTATTTAGAGGGGTTTCGGAGCTGGAGTGAGATGATGAGAAGGGCAATTAGAGAAAAAAAAAGACTGGGAGTGAGTGTGAGTTTGGCGTATGAGATGGGGGTGAGCTTCAGTTCACTTTTCTGCATGGCGCTGGCAGGCTCTTAAACCGGGCAGGTGCTGTGGGTGCTGTGGCCAGCAGAGAACAGCAAAAGCACCTCTGTTTGTACGTAGCAACGGCGCTAGAGTAAATTTAGCTAGCGCATTTCGAAAAGTTAGGTCACGTGCGTCCATCAAGGGATGAGTTCGATTTCGCAGCTGTTGAAGCCGGGACAGAAACATGCAGCAGGCTTAGGCTTGGTAGATCAATGATTGTTTGTTAGAATGTAGATCGTTGTCTTTGCGTAATGATATGAATTAGAGTCTCTCGGTGGTCGTATCGTACGTATGGCATCACCTATGCCGCATTAACAGGAACGAATCCGACGCATAAAGTACTTTGTGTACCATTCTAGGAACTCAAATAGCTTCGAGTACCGTTACTCTCAAGTCGTTTGGTCCTTGAACCCGAATGGAGCCGTATCCATGGTGATTGAGTAACAATCTGTAGCTCCAGTACCAGCATCGTCACCGCCGCTTACAGAGAGAGTACTATCAAGGATGGCGAAATACCCGCCCAACAAATCACCAAGTCCGTATAATACAATCGATTAACATGTCTATGTTCTATGCCCTCCTCTATTTGCCCTGCTCTCCACCGCCACCACTCAACGCTATAAACACTGCAATGCCAATCATCCACCAGTACCTGTAAATGGTCAGCACGCCCAGCTTTTGTATACCCATAATACTCAATTCCTAAAATCATGGATATAACGTACTTTTGCAAGAAAGTCTTCTCAACCTCCTCCTCCACCTTCTTTCCGTCCTTTGACACAACAACTGGCTTATTCAGAACCGGTTGCGGGCCCCTTCCCTCCGTCAAAACCACAACCTTGGGGCCGAAATCCCTCGTCTGCCCGGCGTCAATCTGTACGCCCTTCAATGCAGCGCTTAGAACGTCCCCTCTCGAATTGACGGAGACTGTGATGGTGGGGGAGTACCCCTTGGCAAAGTTCTCTGTGGAGGCGACCGTTGTTCCCGAGAGCCAGGACTTGACTTTGGGGTCGTAGACGCCGATGCGGACAAGGGAAGATGAGTCGGGGATGTCGGGAGCGTCGTAGGATGTTATGGTTGAAGAGTCGAGGGCGGCGAGGTCGTAGGATATGGAGGCGAATGGGAGGGGGGCTTGAGGGTGGGAAGAGGAAATGGGTTGGATGGAGATTTCGGCAGTTTGCGGGTTGGCGTGGATTGTTAGGGCGGCGCAGAGCGCGGAGAGGAGAATTGTTGTTCGCATGGTTGCCGGGCGGGAGGCGACGAGATTTGACCGTGATGCTCTGAGAGCTGGGTGATGACGAACGTCTGGTGGTTGAGAGTGAGCTGGGGCAGGAAGCGCACCGGAGAAACGTATTGGCCCTGGCCTACCCTAGGTAGTGGGTCTCGCCGCTGTAGTCTGGTGACTCTGGTCGATCACGGCTGAATGTCTCTCCTCATTCTGACGTCTTGTGCCAAGCATGCTCTTCATTTCCTATCCAGCACAATCGCACTCGAAATCAACCATTCGATCCTGCACCTCTTTGCTGCCTGTATAATTCTCAAAACATCTCCGAAACTAGCATGGCCCTGTAAGCATCAGGAATGGCTAAGCTCTTATCCTTGTCGCGTATCGTGGCGTCTGCACAACGTCAAAGTAGAAACGCGACTGACCAACGGCCCCAATCCCGTGCCGCGTAATGGAGTACCGTTCTGCCGCGCATATTCAAAAGTTGATGTCAGCTCCGTAGTTTTGCAGAGTCTTCATCATCCGTCTGTTCTGTCTCGCGCTGTGCAAGAGATGCATGCGATCGATATCTGCCTTTGTAAAACCAAAATCCTGTATCAAATATTGGACAATCTCGACTTGATTTCTTTGCACACCCTCCTTCAGCATGTCCCCAATGCTGTCACGCGACAGATACGCTTTGCCTCGCTCAAGGAGAAATCTGAGCATGCCGATTCCCGCCTTGACCGCGACTATGCATAAGCTGTGCCAACTATCTCGGTCTCCTTTTGTCGGGGAGATGTCTGCTTTGCCGTCAAGCAACCAAAGGACCATTTCTATATGTCCTCCCGCAACGGCAGCCTGAAGTGTCGTCCACGCTTGGGGATTCGAAGGTGATGTCCCGTCTTTATCATTCTCAACTATAGCTCCATGATGGAACAGTATCTCGGCGATGTCCTTGCGTCCGTGGAAACACGCCCAGCTTATAGGCGGGTCTATTTTATCAGTATATCCTTGGGCATCTTCTTGAGCATCTTCTTGAGATGGGCTCGGGTCTGCTCCCCCTTCTAGCAGACGCTCAACGATACTGAGCTTGACTTGTGAATCCTGTACCACAATATCCAATAGTCTTCTCGCCACATCCTCTGTGTATTTATTCAATCGAATAAGCAGCGTTGCAAATTCCACTAATTCCCCCATGCCTTCCACCGCTCTTTCAAAGACTGAAAGGCATACGGGCGGGCCTTTCACAAGCAAAGCTTCGAGTACCGCCCATTTTTTATGGCGGATAGCCGTGGACAACTTTGTGGCGATATCTGCACTCCCACATCTTATATCGGCGTCATACTCAAGAAGCAAGCATACCAACTTGACATCTGCCTTTTCTACGGCCACTTGGAAGCACTTGCATCCCGGGTGATCTTTGGCTCCCATATCTTGTTTTCGACGAAGTAGGAATTCGACCATCTGCATGTTGTTTTGACAACAGGCTGTGGACAGCGGAGTTTCGCCCGACTCTGAAAGAGCGTCAATACTGATGTGACTTGCAAGAAGTAGTTTCTCAGCTGCGCCCGGCTCTCTGATGTAATGCAAGAGCGTATCGCCCTTTCCCTTCTGCTTTCTCAGGTCCTTGATTGAAAGAACTGCATAAAAAAGGGCACTATTGCCTGTTTGCATGGCTCTGTCAAGAATGCCGGCTCGGGTTTTACATGATAGTGCGTTGAGTCTTTCGGAGCGAAAAACTTGGGGGAAAGCGTCGAGGAGAATGTCAACCACATCGTAAGATTGCTCATCCAAAGCGATGCCCAGCAGTTCGTCGTACGCTTTCCAGCGCTTGGGGGGAGAAGTCGGTTCATCTGCCGCCTGCTCCAACAGAAGCTCCGACAGAGGCTCCGACAGAGGCTCCAACAGAGGCTCCAACAGCAGCTTCATCATATCCAATTTGTTGGCTTTTACGGCGCCAGGAAGCCATGCCGGGATGTCGGGGAAGGACCATGCTCGCTTGATATCTAACCTCTCGTATAACATTTGCCTGATTTTAAGTTGTTCACGGGAGTCGGAACCTCCCTGAAACAACTTGTCCGCGTCCCAAAACATCGTGTTGTTCACTTCTTGGATGAATGCTTTGTTGTCGAGGAGATGCTGGACAATCTCGGCATTATTCCCTTTAATCGCCGCTCCCAAAGTTGTAATCTGAGATGGCTTCACATATCTTCCATTTATACTGGCTCCGCTTTTGAGGAGAAGGTCAAATAACTCCCTTTTCCCGGTGTTGCAAGCCACCATGAGCGGCCATTCACGCTCAAACACTCCTTCGGGGTCGGCACCCAGCGCAATAAGTTTTTGGACCAGTTCCAAGTTGCCAAAGCGGCACGCCACAAGCAAGGCTTGAGTGAGACGATCGGCTCCTTTGGCGTCATTACGTGATTTGTCAATCTTGAGAAGATCAAGAACAGCATCAGCAAGGTCGTTTGTGGGAGGCTTTAGTGAAAGCTTCAGTAGATCATCGAACATTTGGCGTTTCTCGTGCTCCAGGTCCAAGTCTCTAAACTCCTCCCATTCTTCCTTAATATTGGTTTCTTTAGCCAGTCGCGATATGATACTGCAGTCCGCCAGTTCCACGGCCAGCCAAAAATGGCCCAGCTGCAGTACCCGACGGTTCATGCGTAGAATGTAGTTGATCTCACATTCGGCTGTAGCGATGTGCGGCCTCTCCGTGGCCGCCTTCTCTCGGATGAGCTTGTTTTCGAACGCCCATCTTCGGATTTCCCGGGAAAGTGCAGTGCTGGCTATCGGATCTGAGCGCCTCCAGGGGAATCCACGGAAGGCCCCGTAATGGTCTTTGCTTGTTCTGGTAAAGGCGTAGACGTCTTTGGCTGTCATGAGATCAAGCACCATGCCCTTGATCTCGTTGGGCATGAGAACGAATTTCCACATGACAAAAGATTTCGAAAACGAATGAATAGAAAATAGAATTCACAAATGCAGGTATGATTAGATTTCCATGCTGTGAGTGTAGGACCAGGCAGCGCCAACCACTATATACTTCGGCCCTCTTCAAAACGATACAAAAGCCTCGCGCTTCACTCTCTGAACATGAACAACCTGTCAAACAAATTTCATGCCGCTCACCGACATTGAAGCGAGAAAGCCCATGTCAAGGCAAGCAAACGCTGCCGGGGATAATAGCGCCCCATAAAGACCAACCAGGTGCTGATAGGATGACAGAACCAAGCCAGCGGACAAACAAACAGCAGCGGCTTGCAGGCAACCGACATGGTAAACATTGAGCCTAGGTCTAAGAAAAGCGCAGCTGGAAAAGGAAAAAGGAATGAAATGAAAAAAAAAACCCCATCTGTTCGGCCAAAGAGTACAGCTGCGTGCTTTCGCGCGGTCCTCACATCAAAGCTTCTTTTCAGCTAGAAGTACAGACGCGAACTTTTGTGCGCTTCTTCACGTCAAAGCTTCTGCGTGACATTAGCTTTTAGTCACCGCGCGTACAGCATGCGGACAGTTCTGGTTGCACCATCGTCGTAATGCGACGCTGCAGAGGACCTTAATGAACGAGGGCTCGCAAAGCCGTTGGAATAAATATCGCGTTTGCAACTCATAGCGGTGACGGGACAGGATGGAGAAGCTGGTGAAAAGAGGTCGGGGCGACGCGCTGGTGGAATATTGAAGCAGGTTACCCCGTGACTCCTGCCCTTTTGGATGTGATCTGCACCACTGAGTACCCGAGATACGTAGAGGTACTAATCTACCCGACCCAGGTTAATCAAAATGGCGTCAGGTCACCTCGGATATCCTGCCTGTTCAAGTACATACACGAGAGGCACATGAAGAGCACCCAGCTGCAAGTACTTCAGGTGATGGATCGTCAATATGGGAACTCGTCCTCGTATATTCAACTGTTCAGGTCCTATCCGCATACCCCGCTCCCTTACGACAAAACTCAATGCCTTTCAACAGCCGTTGGCATGAACAAAGCGCAACGCCGGAACCATACAACGCCAGAATGCAATATGCTCCAAGATGCAAGGAGAGAACAAAAAAAAAAGAAGAAAAGAAGAAAGGTGGAAAAAAAGACAAGGACAAAGCACGAAGGCAGCTGTCCCCGCTTCTAATCATGGCCGTGTCCTTCTCAACCCCAATATAGTGATGAAGACATTTGTACAAATTTTGAATGGCCAACAGTCGTACATCGTTTGTCATAACCCCCCAGCAATTCACCCCACATGTAGCCGTGCGTTTCCATTTAGTCGTCTAATTGGGTATCATCCTTGCATCCTACTCCTGCCAAGTTTGAACCTCCTCTTTCTGCTGCCGCCTCTGTTCCTCTTCATCAACATCTTCATCGTCGCCAATGGACGAGTCGTCTGAGGAACCGTCAGACTCCAGTGCGTATTGAGGTGTCCGCTCTACCAAACCCCGATAGTATGCAACGAGCACCTCTGGATTAGGCACGATTTTCCAATCCACCCTATAGAGAAACTCTAGCTCTAACATCTTCAACTCGGCAACCCGGACGCCGCCAACCCTAGCGTAAGTCGTGTTGTTCCAGAATGAGTCGGAAAGCCCCTTGGCAGCTACAGTGGCTGCTGTGATCAAGAATCGATGAACCGTGAGAGTGTTTATCGTGAATTCGGGATACAAGGCGCATAAACGATCAATGTAATACACCATGGAGAGAAGTAGAGGAGGTGTAAGTGTAGCGTGTCTCGCCAGGCGGTGAAGGTAGTCTCGTACAGATATGCCTGGCGCAGTCCTGTAATCTCTATGTCAGGGGCACCATGCATAGGCAGAAGACAGGTTTTTTTTTTGGTACAGATTGGTAAAAAGTAAGGGTTCTATCAGACCGTGGCTTTTGCAGCCTTGGGGAACGTACCTGGAATGAAAACGTGTTAACCCTCCGCTCGATATCCGAATGGCGTCATTTGTCGAAATCAACTCAGCCAACATGTGAGCTATCAGCTCCACAATGTCTTCTACTGCACAAAGCTCGTAGCGCTGAGGCAAAATTTTTGGCTCCCCACTAGTCCTTGCTCGCTTCGGCGCAGTAGTTATTGCAGATGATGGCGCACGACCCGCAATGCTCTCACCAGTCTGTGAGGTGGCGGGCGTATCATCATTCAGGCGACCAGGAGACACCCTTCGCTTGTTTGGTGACAAGACTTTCTGAGCATCGTTGTCAGATCCGGTTGATGGTTGAGGGTGCGCAGGTGTTCCGCTTGGCAGAGAGCCGGAAGCCGCAGGCGTGACAATGTTTTGGGGCTGCGGCTGCGGCGATGGAGGGAGTTGGTAGATCTTCTGGCGCGAAGTGACACCGTCATGATGCACACGGCCGTCGACAGCCGATTCGGTTGGTTTCGCGTGCCGGCGACGAGGGGAATTGGAGGTAGCCTTTGGCGAAGACGTAGTCGCTGACCGATGCAGACGTGCGGTCGAGGTTGATGGTGCCAATCGAGGAGATGCTTGGGGGGACGGAGGCGTTGCATGACCGCGGCGAAAGCTGGTAGGCGACGCATTGGCTGAGCCGGTGAGAATTGGGGATGTCTTCAACATGGTGGACAGCGCATCGTCGTCTGCACCGAGACGATGCTTTTAGGCCCTGTGCCCGGCGAATGCCAATTGGTTGCTTGCGATTATGGTGCTTCCGTGCGGCAATGCGACAATGAGATGCGCGTGGTTACGGAAAAGCTCTAGGACCTCGTCGCTTTGGATCGACTGCGCGGACGGCACCAAGACAGCCAAGACAATTCATTGAACAACAGAATAAGGTGGTTCCCTATCTTGCAAAGGAAAAAAAAATGCCCTTGGCTGTGGTCGTGGGACTCGCCCTGTTCGCAAGGCGGCGATATGGGAGCTGAGCACAGCGAGTACAATGAGTGCGACGAGTGCGACGACCACGACGAGCGCAACACGTTTGTACTTGAGGGTTGGGCACTCGAGTAGACGAGGCGGAAGCGTCTTTCAACGGCGATGGCGACGTGTTGGTTCGCTGGTCGAGATTGTTCAGATGACTTTTGTCTGCAGAACTCGGGACTTGGCACGCAGGTTGCAGCTCAACTCGAGAAGCGAGCGAACGTCTTGACTGCCAGGGTCGGGACAGGGCGATCGATCTGCGGATGATGGATGACGGCCGAGTGCAGGTGGCGGAAAGTTCCAACTAGTGGTAGCTGAAGACGGCGGCTGTTTGGTTAAGCGCGAGACCGTCGAGTGGTTAGAGCACACACCCTCTTTAGGACGTGCTCAAGTGATGCAATGGCAATTATGGAGGTCAGTTGGTGGCCTCACAGTTGCCTAGTTGGAGACAAAAACGAATCAATAAATCAAGACAAAGACAGTATGGGAGGTACTATGGTGAAGCAAGGAAACTGGCAACATTTTGAAGAGTTGGAGAGAAAGGCAAATGAGGGAACGCCAATTGAATTGGGCAACTACGACCACCACATGCAGACAATGACCCACCACATTATGGGTGTCCAAGCTGGTTGGTGCCAACTGGCCTCAGGTGCCAGCGACTGGACGCCCTACATGTATGTACAATGTGCCTGCTGCCCCCCGGGGGGCGCGCCCCTTGTTCCCCCTGTGGCCCCGTCAGGTCAATGCCTCCAGCTGTCCGGTGCGCTCTGGTCCACTCAAGTCAACTGGTCAACCTGCTGGTTCGAATTGTCATCGCTAAATGTTGGCACTTGCACTCGTCAGACTCCCCCGGCCGGCGGGGTCTGCGGGCTCCGACATGTCCAAAATGCTGCCAACTTCACGTGGGGCAACATGCATCACCAACGTCACCTTCTTGACCTCTCAGCCCCTCCGCTCGAGCACCACTGGCATCGCTCGGCCAGCCCGCGAACTGCATTCGAGTCTGCGACTCCGCTAGTGGGCAAAGCGACCATCTTTGATATTTGAACCAAGTGGGCCTCTCTTGCGAGAGAAAAATGGCTTGCATTTCCGTTCCGGAGGTTTCTTCTCTAGAGGCACGAGAAACGCGCGGAGTACTCCGCATCATCAGATGATGCTGGGCGACTCAAGCGCAATTTGCTGCCGCCTGTTGGTATGATCGTGGCTTGCAGTACTCATGATCGCACCGTCCATTTTGGTCTTGTCAGTCAGTGTATCTGTATTGTGTAGTGCTCTTATAGGAGCATGTATACTCCGTAAGGACAGACGAGCGAAGTATATGCTAACTTCTCAGTAATTCCAAGCAAGGCTTTGCTTGACCCAGCCCCCAGACCACCATCCATCCACTCGACAATGCCCAGAATAGCTTTGTCCATGGGAGCCACACCGGTTGTCGGCAAGATTCCTAGTATCAAAGATTTCTCCCTCGGGTTTCCCAATGGTTCCCAAGCTCTACCCCGGAGTACATACGCACATACCTACCTACCTGGGTAACTAATGCAAGCACTCACTGCACCCCAGATCAATCCTCGAGCAGGTCTAGTATGGGTAAATTAATCACTCCATCCCATGCTAGTCAGTGGAGGCGAGGGAGCAAGAATGGATGTTTGTTGGAAATGGACCCTCGAGCCTCCTCGGTCGTCTCAATAAACTTACCGAGTACTCCGTAGTATGTTGTACGACGCACGTCACAATCAGAGACATTGGCCATCAACCCGGAGAGCAAATACCCTGCCTCGACCAACCCTCGTGTTAGCATAGGGCTACCTGATTCGTACCTGCAGCGGCATGTACGTTGTCTCATTTACGCCCTGTTTGCTGCCTGGGTGGTTTGCTGTCGTCAAGTGAGTAAAACCGACTGCTTGCAAAGGCAGACTCTGGCCCGACAGGTTTTGACACACACATAACATCAAAAGGAGGTTCTTGCATCTTGTCTTGCTTGACAACACGTACTTGCTTTGCGGAGGAAAACGAAGCATGTGCCATCCGAGACCGAATGCATTCACCGGGCCAGTATCCAATCAATGGCAAACAGG